GGCTCGTTGCTCCTGTGTGGGTCCATGGGAACCCTATTAGTGGTCTTGCTGTCCTGGGGGCCAACAAGGCCCTCTTCTCCCCTACTGCCTCTAAGCAACTCCATCTGAAGGGCACAGCTGTGGCTTTTGCAGGCTCCTGCTCCGTGTGCTCAGCAGTTCCAGTCTTAAAGCGGCTACAGCATGAAATGGTAAGAGCAGTTTTTTCTTTCTCTCATTGTGGCTTCTCCTGCCTTCATGCACTCCATACGTCTCTCTTCCTCTTCCCCTGAGCTCTAGTGGCCCCAGCTTGGCTGTTATGGCTTTTTTTATATAGTTGTAAATTGGCTGATTCATGGGAGAGAGTGATGCAGGGGACTGTCTATTCTGCCATTGTGACTGAAAGCACTCAAAGAAAAGGAAGGAAGGAAGGAAGGAAGGAAGGAAGGAAGGAAGGAAGGAAGGAAGGAAGGAAGGAAGGAAGGAAATCTGGAAGCACTACACTACATGACTTCAAATCATACTACAGAGCTATAGCAACCAAAACAACATTATGCTGGCATAAAAACAGTCACATAGACCAACGAAAAAGAATAAGGAACCCAGAAATCAATCCACACACTACAGCCAACTGATCTTTGACTAAGGTAATGAGAACATACACTGGGGAAAGGATAGTCTCTTCAATAAATAGTGTTGAGAAAACAGGATATCCATGCACAAAGGAATGAAACTAGACTTGCACCTTTCACCATATAACCAAATCAACTCTAAATGGATTAAAAATTCAAATGAAAGAATTGGAAGTATGTATAGGGAAGCACTTCAGAAGTAGGACTGGGTGAAAACTTTATGAATAAGACCCCAAAAGCACGGGCAACAATAGAAAAAATAAATAAATGGGATTATATCAAACTAAAAAGCTTCTGCACAGCAAAAGAAACAATCAGCAGAGTACAAACACAACCTACAGAACAGGAGAAAATATTTGCAAGTCACACATCCACAAGGGATTAATATCCAGAATACAGAGGGAACAACTTGACAGTAAGAAACCCCAAATAATATGATTTAAAAATGAGCTAAAAAAGCTGAATAGACATTTCTCAAAGGAAGACATAATAATGGCAAGCAGGTACATGAAAAAATGCTCAAGATCCCTAAGCATCATGGAAATGCAAATCAAAACCATACTGATGTATCATCTCACCCCAGTTAGACTGGCTGTTATCAAAAAGACAGAGAATCACAGACACTGGTGAGGATGTGGAGATGGGGACTCTTCTATACTGTTGGTAGGACTGTAAATTAGCACAGCCATTATAGAAAAAATATGGAGGTTTTTCAAACAAGTACGGATAGAATATAACATGATCCAACAATCCCAGTTATAGGTAACCCAAGAAATGGAAATCATTATGTTAAAAGGATACCTGCACTCCCATGTTTAAGATAGCTCTATTAACAATAGCCAAGATATAGAACGAACCAAAATGTCCATCAACAGATAAGGAAAATGTAGTATATACACACAATGGAATACTACACACCATAAAAAAAAATGAAATTCTGTCATTTGCAGTAACATGATAATCTTAGAGATAATTATGTTAAGTGAAGTAAGTCAGACAAGGAAAGAGAAGTACTGCATGTTCTCACTCATAAGTGGGAGATAAAAAATAAACAAATAAATAAAAAAGAAAGAAAGATACAATAATCCCAATAACCTGTTGAACTTTCAAAAGGAGAAAAATGAACTGTGGTTACTAGAGGTGGGAAAAGTGAAGGGGGAAGAGAATAGGGTAGGAACTGACTGATGTACATAAATAATTATTTTGTATTGTAATGATGAATATGCTAATTATCCTGATTTGACCATCACATATTTCACACAATATATGTATAATCCAACTGTTTCAATAATAAAAGAATAACCAAAAATATTCAGAAAACTAAACAAAAAGGGAATCGAATGACAAACTGAAATAAATCAATCATAGAATAGGGCAGTAACAGAGAAAATAAAGAACAAAAACAAATAAAAAAGATATGGAAAACAATTTGCAAAATGAGTAAAGTAAGTTCTACCTTATCAGTAGTCACTTTAAATAAAAATGAATTAAAATATCCAATCAATAGGCAGTATGTTAAATGGATATAAAGAAAACATAATCCAACTATTTGCTGTTTACAAGAAACTCACTTTAGATCTAAAGACATAAACATTTAAATGAACTTATAGAATAAGATACTTCATTCAACCATAAGTAAAAGAGAGCAGGATTGTCTGTATTAATACGAACATAGGAAACAAAAGATTAGAGGGAAAATAAAATAGAAAAAGGAAAAACAAAAGAAAGAATCAACAAAACCAAAAGTTCAATCCCAATATTGGACCTCCCTTTTCTTAGGTATTTTCTTCAGAAAACTTGCAATTCTATCTAGGCATGATGCCACTGCCACAGGGTTGCTGGGAGTCCTTAGGCAGGGAGCCAGTGACCCACCCCTCCTCCCACACCTAGGCAAGGAGCACACCCAAAATACTACTTTCATGTGGGTGGTCCACCACAGCCATCATAATAGCCACAGCTGCCACAAAAGCGGCTAGATGCCACAACCACCGTGCAGATGGTCCTGCCAGCCACTTGAGTTCACTGACACAAGGAGATTCACCAAGGAGACCAAAGAAAAAGAGGATGTCTCTCTCCACAAAGCCCATTGCAGAGTAATAGGAGCATCTTCTCTATGATAATAGTGGGGGACCTGAACACACCTCTCTCAGCACTGGACAGATCATCTGGGCAACAAATGAAATTAGTAACCATTACTCTTTCAGAAGGAGAGAAGTCTAGGGTTATCAAGGTGGGAGGGGGAAATAAGATGAGGGTGGGGAAAGATTGGATAAGGGGCATAAAGAATAAGTGTAGTTTGTAATAATGTATATGCTAATAATATGGATTTAATCAACAAACATCAACTTTGAACCCCCCAAATATGTATAATCAACTATGATTCAATAAAAAAGAAGGAAAATCTGTAATTCTAAGATTCACCTCTCTTGAAAGGTATATAAATTCTTTTGAAAACCAGATGAGCCTTTTGTCAACTTTATGATCCAGCATTGTATTTCTCAGTGACATGTGAACCAGACATCTCTCTGACATGTAAACATCAATGGAGAAAGCATCCCTATCTGTAGTTTTTGTGGGAGGGTGGAAGCCTAACTTTTGTAGGTGCTTTACTACAAGTTGCACAACTATGAAGTCATAAAGATGTGGGAATTTTGTTTCTACCATGGCTAAATCCTACTGACTAACTAATATGGTATCTGCAATTAAAGCAAAGTAGTAAAGCTGGGATGTGTGACAAATCCCAGCTTTCCATTGTTCCTACTGTCAATTGTTCCCACTTGAAGACTAGTGATTGTTTATCCTGACAACGTGTAAGGAACGGGTTGTTAGTCCTTGGCCACATAATAGGAGCAAGATTTGTTTTCCTTAGTTGATTGCTCGTGAAGTATATCATTCTGTGGTTTAATGCTTATCTCATGGTTAAAGTGATTTCTTTCTCTACTATCTTCGTGGAGAGTTTTTCTAGGTTCAGAGAAAATTGTTTTTTTAATTTTATTTCTCCCACATTAGACTCTAATAGAAAATAGAAAGAACTCTTAACACCAGCAGTGAAAACAGGGATATTACTACTGACATTACAAAAATAAAAGAGATTATGAGGATCCTATATTATCAATATTAAGAATAATTGTACAACAAAGAAGTTAGATAATCTAGATGAAAATGAACAAATTCTGAAACATACAAACTATTAAAACTGACTCAAAAATAATTATGAAATCTGACCAGACGCATAACACATAGAGATTTAATCATTCATAAAAAAAATTTTCTTTTCTAAAAAGTAAGCCCTACGACCAGACAGCTTCCATGATGAATTGTTTTAAATCATGTAAAGAAGAATTTACACCAATCCTCAGATTCGTGCAAAAAAATAGAAGAAAAGGGAATTTAACAGAGATCTTTCTTTGAAGCCAGCATTATCACAATACCAAAGTCAGGCAAATTCACCATAAGAAAACTACCGGCCAGTATTCCTTATTAATATAGATGCAAAAACCCTAAACAAAACAGTAGCAGGCTAAATTGAGTAACTTCTTAAAGGATTGTAAAGTATAACCAAATGGATTTTATCCCCAGGATAATTTGCCCATCATTGCTAAGTCGTTTGAGGAATTTGGTAAAGCCCCTATTTACTGCTAGATTTACAGATGTTGAGCTTACGTCTTACTCCTTCAATCTCCCTCCTTCCTATGTGTATGTAGCGTTTGCTGCTTCTCAGAATTCTGCCGAGTGCTGGTCATGGTAAGCTACCGACATGGTCTCTGTCCTCATAATGTATTAGTACTGAAAAAGTAATAAGCATACTGAACATAGGAGGGCTTGTCTTTTCTCAGTCCTCCAATCTAACTTTGCAGGAGAAAGAGCCTATTAAAATGTGGATGGGTTAGACTTAAAGAGAGGGTAACTTGCCAAACTGAGAGACACAGACCGATGTCCGTGTTTAGCCTATTTCATCATGACTCCACCTCCTCCTTGCTCACATCCCCGCTTCTCGCAAGATTCGTTCACCCTGCCCAGAATCTCTCCCAGTGTGTCTCAACGTGCTATTTGTCAGTCAGTCGGCCACCTCTGAGCCGTATGACCAAGACGTAAGGGGCGGAGGGGGGGGGGGGGGG